GTAAAACAAACACCAGTTTACTGGTTAGTATAAACCTTTAAAACTGGTTGCTAACACATAGACTAACATTAATATCTTTGGAGACGTGTGATTATTTGGCACTAAACTCCCCTTGACAAAAATCCCAAACTCTTCAATGGGAAAATCCATCCTCTGACAACAAAAAGAAGAACGCTTTAAATTTGCTGTGCAGTCTGAAGTAATGTCAAAATTCACACACAAAACTCACCAGTTGAAAAAAATATATAAAAAAAACATGAATGAACTCCATTGTTCACAGTAATTTAGAGAAGTAGACCAAAAGCAAGGTTTGTTGTTTGTCTTCTATTGACTGGTTCACACAGGTCTAAAGACCAGTCAGGGACCCTCTCGATGCTCGTAATCACCAGACACTTTGGTCATAGTTTGCATGAAGTATGCTAACTTGTCTGCAAACACTTGCCAACCTCCTGTCCTAAGTGCCCGCACCTTTTGAAATGTGTTTATTTTGAAGGCCAGCAATCTGTTTCCAGTTTGCATTGAACTTTTTCAAGTTGCCCTATAGCTCGGTGGTTAGTTCACAAGTGTTTGTAGGCAAGTTATGGCTATATATATCATGCTTACTATGGGTCACCGTGAGAGTCTAATTTGACCTTGCAACAGCCAGCAACCACTTGTGGAACATAAATTTCCGTCAGCAAGTGGAGGTTATATTTTATTTTATTTTTTATTGCAGTTTTTTAATTGTGGTTCGTGTTCAATATTATTATAATTGTTTTTCTTCTGAATATAACCAAGCAGAAAGACTTTTGTGTGTAGTGGAATTTGTTTGAAGAGAATGTTTCACAGGTCACTCTGATATATTCCCAGAATGTTTTAATCATTGTACCAAACACAGTCAACAGTGCTGAACAAAAATATGCATATTTAATAAGTATAAGGAGGAGAAAGTGGAAGAATTCAAACACAGACAGTGGGCTATCGGATTCAGGCTTCACCCCTACACCAGTGTAGGGGTAACTAAATGAATAAAAACAAATGAAAACATGGTTTAGCTAATAATTAGCTGCGGTTGAAGACAAAGGTCAGTGGTGATGGAGGAGAAAGCCAGTCTGTCCCCGCTGGCCACTCATAACCGAATGAGTAAGGTTAATAATCAAAAGAAATAATGACCAGAAGGCACACAGTTGTAACATGCCACTCTTGAGTGAGTGATTTGTACTTGTGTACTTTTGCAAAGCGCAATCATGTGGAGAAACCTTTTCTTCTTATTTTTCTTTTTTTAACTCAACTCATTCTTCTTGCTTCCTCCACTTCCGTAACATTGATTCATTAATGGTGAATTCTCTCGCAGCTGCTCTATTCCCATTAATGACTAACCTCGTATTGTGAATGAATTATCTCAGTTGTTCTCCTGACTGAAGTTTGGTCCGTTTACAACATCCTGCCATGTGATAGCATTTGTCCCTAACCATCAGAAACCCCCTGTTAACTTTTATCGAGTGGAAAAACGTTAGCATTCATCCTCCAGCTTCACTGTGTTTATGTTATGCTAACATAGCTATGTTGCTAGCAATCACGTAGCACAACATTATATAGCAGCTAGTCCAACTTCAGTGACCCTACAAACGTCACTGCTGTTTAGTTTTCTGTCTTCATTTATGTTGGAAGTGATAGCAGAGCTGTACATTTAAATTTTTTCAGAAATCTCTCAGTCAGAACATGCTATATCATGTCTAGGTGGAAACTAGCGAGCTAACTTCCTGCTAACTTCTAACTCCGTTAAATTTAATACATTCTGTTTTCATGGATGCCTGGATGTTAAACTAATTGTTACACCTGGTAAAGCAGCAAAACTGATCATTTTATCACAGATGAAAGAATTTAGACAGTTTTTAACTCAGTGATGTCGCAGTGTTCGTTTGACTTTGGGACCTGAAGCGGACGGAGTTTTGGACCCAGATTACTCTGGAGGCTCCTGACTACGGTAGCCGTAATGCTCCGACACCATCAAGAGGTGCGGCTTCGTAGCTTATCAAAGTCGTACGAAAACATTTTCTGATAGATTTTTGAGCGCCGTGTACCACATAAAATCGGTTCGAGGTCTGTAAGCACAACCAGAATTCATACATAAGGTGCATCAGATTATAAGGCGCACTGTCGATTTTTGAGAAAATTAAAGGATTTTAAGTGCGCCTTATAGTATGGAAAATACGGTACTTTATTTATCCCAAATTTGAGAATTTTTTTTGTTATGGTTCTTTAAAATGAAATACAATGTCACAAAACATGTTTTAATAATGTAAAAACTCATCAAATGAAAACAAAATAAAGTAAAATAAGTGTCCATTGAAAAATAAATATTAAATAATGATACAACATGGAGCAATCAAATATTTCAAAAAATCAGCAAAACAAGTTTCTTAAAAACAGAATAGCAAATATTAGATGACATTAGATCCCTAATTCAGTGTGCATAACAACCTCAAACATACACAGGAAAGGTTCCCCAACATTTTCAGATTGCTGTTATTCTGAAGAAATCTCTGTGTGCAACAGACAAAGTCACAAGTCAGCATTGGGTACCTGTGATCCTCAGGCTTTCAGGCAGAAAGGCATTAAATGCAAACATGATTCTGTCATGGAAATCACTACATGGGCTCAGAAATCATTGACCATGAACACAATCCGCTATAAAATCCACAAATGGTACGTTTTCCCAGCTGAAATATTTCAAATTTTTTTCTATGTTGTATTGTAAATAAAATCTGAGTGAATGAGATTTGCATCCGAATTTAAACAGCATCCAGCTGTCCATGAATTAGCGTTGTTTTTCAGATAAATATGTATTCGTCACTGTATTTTTTATACACTTACAGACACACATAAATGTACGGTATATACAGTATGATGTGAACTTAAGCAAAAACAGCCTTAGCTCTCTTGACCAAAACAAAGCCATTCATCTTTTCTCCGAGCTGTTCCTGTACAGGTGATCTGCAGAGCACTGCAGCAGCAAAAACCCAAGTATCTCCATTTCATTTGGGATGTTGCTTGTCACTGTTCTATCAATAATTAAGCTGCATGGCTCACCAAAAAAACCCACATCAGTCAGCAGCATTCAGGCACCGCTCGCTCTCCCTGCTCCTGAATTGATCCGTTTCAGCTAATGTTCATTAGTTTCGCCATGCAAAGAGCTCTATAGCCTACACTTTAGTAAAAGAGCTCAGTGTCTTACAAACCATCCTTTCTAAGAATAGAAGAGCCTTACTGTGTAGCTCAGTGAAACCAGTGAACCGTGGACTCTCAGGTCTTTGCTGACATCTGGTGTCAGTGGGCAAAAAGAGCAGAGCAATTCTTTACTGCTGACCACTTTTAGACTTAGTCAGCACTAAAAGAAACCGCACCAGACAGTTTTACTGCTCTCATCAGCAGTGCTGACTGCTGTTGTGTGGAAAAGGGAACATCCAGTCTTTCAAATTAAAGATGAGAAGATCCCAGATCATATGATTTTTGTTGTTGGATGTTATGACCCTGTTTTCCTGTCTGTTTTCCTATCCCTTTGACTGAGAAAAATAATTACGGGATTTGTTTTTTTCTTATTTTTTGACAAAATGTAGTAGCCTTCTCAACTACAAGCTAAACTTTAACTTAACTTTAAGCAAGCAGCAAAAATGGAAAAATTTACAATAATAAAGTTTGCCTTATTTTATTTGCTTACTTAATAATGGATGAAATGTATCAAAAGAATTAAGCAGCAGAATAATAAATTAAAACTACTAAGTAGATACTGTGGCTTAATTAAAAGTATAGCATATAATGTCTATAAAGCAAGCTCAGTCATTAGCATGGCTGAAGAGTGATATGTTTGTAGCTTAAACCTATTTGCTGGAACGTTCAAGATAATTTAATTACACAGCAAAGCAAGACACGAGTAGGCAAAGTCCTTTATGTTTCTCGTGCACAGGAGAGAACTGGACAAACGCCGTTCCTTCGCTCGACCCCAGTTGCTCTAATCTGCTCCCCGTAACACTGCTCTTTTATTGAGGTTACATGAATATGCATAGGTTCATTAACATACGACGTCTACATACAAACAAAGAGTACCTTGCCTGTGTGTGTGTGTGTGGGGTCAGAGTGTGACCCCATAAACAACTTCCCTAACCCTGCTGGTTTGGAAATCCAGCAGTTCATCTAAACAAAAGGCACTTCGACTAAAACTGACATAGCTACGTTTATCCTACCATAAAACAATAAGGGAAGGTAGACTTCTCCCATGCTCCCAGGGTGTGGGTGTGAATGCCAGAGCACTCTGGAATGCACACCAACCCTTTGCAGACTATTAAGGATCACACATCCTATCACTACACAATCGATTATACACCTCTATGCATATATGGTTAAATATTTCTAAGCATAAATGACAATAAACAATACAAATCGAACAAAGAGTTTTTACGTTCTCTGCTTTCAGGTCCTCTGCCAGACAGTTAACACCGTTTCAGTGTATTAGGGTACAAAAGTGAAGCATGAAATCCCACAAATAATTAATATGCATCACACCAAAATGCTGTTAATGTTACTGAGTAAAAAGTGTTGCATTGTTCACCTACAGTAACCTACTTGTGCACAGTTTGAAGCAACTTTTCTGGAGTCTCTCCCAGCTGTCCAAGGGAGAGAGGCAGGGTACTTCCTGGACATGTCTCCAGCCTAACAGAGACAGACAGCCATTCACACCTACAGCCAGTTTAGAATTAAAGATGTCCCGATACAACTTTTTCCTTTTCGGATTCAGGTATCTGCCAGAGTTAAAGTAATCCTCACTGTGAGGCTCAAGGTAAATGGTACTTTACAAACTTAAGAAAATGAAATTCGCCAAGAATATAAATTCACTGAGCTATTAATTCCTTTGGGCTTCTGGAGACTCCTGGGCGTCACACTGGTGAGGTGTTTGGGGCGTGTCCTACCAGGAGGAGGCCCCGGGGCAAACACAGTACACCGTGGAGTGATTACGTGTGTCATCTGGCTTGGGAATGCCTCTACATGCACAGACTGACACATAAATGAAAACCTTCACAAATATATAAACAAACACAAACCTCTGCTGAGCAGGCTTTTAAGGGAATAGCATTTTTATCACTTTAATTTTTGAATCAAACTGTTGACCTTTAAGGAGAGGTCAGAGGTCAAATAGGACATTTTAAACTCGATACACTACTTTCTAAATGTTGACAGTGCACACCACACTTGTATGAATCAAGTTATAAGGCTTTTTGGCCATTTTTGATCAATAAATCATGAAGTTAACCTTCAAGACCTTTGCAGATGTAAGCCATATTTTAATAGACTGTAGGGGTGTAGAGTGGGGTCATGTTAACAAAGATTTATCAGAATCCATTCAAAGCTACCATGTTTACAGGCAGAATACCGAACATCCACCTGAAACCTAACCTCCTTGGGGGTTATAGCCACTGATATAGTCAGAGTTAAGTAGCTCCAAGCTGCTGTCGCTTTGCTGTTAGCTTCCTCCATGTTACGTTAGCACTCCCGCTGCTGCTGATGTTTGATGATAATAATAATGGATTGGATTTATATAGCGCTTTTCAAGGCACCCAAAGCGCTTTACAATGCCACTATTCATTCACTCTCACATTCACACACTGGTGGAGGCAAGCTACAGTTGTAGCCACAGCTGCCCTGGGGCAGACTGACAGAAGCGAGGCTGCCATATTGCTGCCAGTGTCTTGCCCAAGGACACAACAACCAGGACAAACCGGCAACCTTCCGGTTACAGATGCGCTTCCCAACCCCCTGAGCCACGGCCGCCCGTGATGTCATAAAGCAGATGAAATGAATGTATCAGGTGTGGATCAGCTCGTTGTCACTAAGCTTTGTGAGTCAGGATCAGACCGCCACATCAGATCAGTGCGTCCCCAGTTAGAAATGCCTGTTAACCTGACATGCATGTCTTTGGACTGTGGGAGGAAGTTGGGGTAATCTCTAATAGATCTCAAAAACAGTTGTAGTTTGGAAAATATGTTTTCGCTGTGCTCTCTGAACGCATCTCTTCATCTGCCATTCCCTTTTTTCTCTTTTCTCTCCTCCAGCTCAGCCTCCAGGACTCCTGGCTGCACAAGCTCAATGGCGGGATGGTCCTCTTCACCTTCTTCATGTGCCGCATCGCCCTCTTCCCATTCATGTACTGGATGTACGGCCGTCACTACGGCATCCCTCTCTACAGCGTGCCCTTCCACCTGCCGCTGTCTGCCAACCTGGGCAACTCGTGCATCTTGGCGCCGCAGGTCTACTGGTTCGTCCTGCTGTGCCGAAAGGGCTACCGTCTTTACCAGCGCAGCCGCAGCCCGGCCTCGTCTCCCACGGCCGACACCGCCGCCGTCACTGACAGTTCAAAAGATGATTGATACGCGGACCACGACCGCTCGCTCTAGCCACACACTCAGCTACTAACGCTCAGCCCAACCATCGTACTGTAGTACACCAGGACTGCCTGCTCTCGTTCCACAACTCCCGGGCATTTTCCGCACACTTCAACCAACTCCTCTGCCTACGTGGACCTCTCCACCTCCAATCTAACTCTACTACTGAAGTTTAGTGATTTTAATTTTTTTGGGATGTGACTCTGGCCTGGATCTCGCTGAAGTGCTTCACTGTGTCTGAATACATTTACAGCACTGGAAAAAGAAGAAGAAGAAGAAAAAAAAGATTGTTTGCTGCACTGCGAGTGAAATGTGGAGCAAACGTACCAGAAACTAAAGAGGAGATATGATCCTTACTCCTACTGTTTACAGCTGCTGATTGGAAAGTTCTGTTACAGTGTATGTTTGTGGGTGTTATGGCTGGTTTTCATTTAAGAGTAACATGTCAGATAGCTGGATTTCTTTTCAGATCATTTTATTTGTCACGCTGGTGACAAGGATTGGGGCCTGTGGTGGGCGGCATGGAAGTTCAGGCAGTATTAGCAGAGATAGGAAATGAGGAATACGCGTCACCAAGCAGCTACATCGTTACCTGGTTAATGTGATAGCCTCTGACTTTTTACCAGTTTCTCATAGTGCACGCCATTACCTACACTCGTGTTTCCACCCTTCATTTTCAGGTTTATAGTTTTCCATTATCTGTAGGGAACTATTTTTGACACCATGATTAATTAAGAAATGGCCCTCTCTCACACAGGGTTTTTTGTTTTGTTTTTTTTAAAGAAAACAGTAATATTGTAATGTCTTGCCCTGAGATAATTTTTTCTCAGGTGTGAAGTTCAGCTCCTCAGCAGATAAAATTAAAAAAATCATACCTGGTTTAAATTTGGTCGAGGTCATCTTCTCATGGAGTTTTTCCTAAATTTAAGTTCTGGCCACTTTGACTTGTTCCTCCTCGATGTGTGGTGGCTCTCCTGCAGTGGATCCAAACTGTAACTGCTTAACTTTTGTTTTGTATTCTCAGTTAAAATGGGGAGCATCGACCTCATAAGTGACGCCAGCACTAAAGTACCACACTGTCTTTAAATGGCCACCAGGAGACGACTTTTCTGGCTGCAGAAAGACTTGGAGGGAGGGATTAGCCCTCACCTCGCTTTCTCTTCGACCGCAATGCTTTCCTGACGACTTTATGGGCTCAAGCGCTAGTTTCAGGGTCAAATTTTATAGTCAATCTGAGGGCCTGAAAGAAGGATTATCCAGGATGTGATCACTTGCTCCACCGCTCTCTCATCACATCTGGTTTTAAAGTACCAAGATTGCGACAGCAGGAGCTCTCAGCTTATAGCTTGATAATTTTGTGACACGAGGGGTGGCTGTGGGGGTGAAAAGGGGTAGACGTGAGAGGAAGTAAAGCTAATGCAGGACAGTAAAGACACCAGATCATCAAAGTAAAACAGGAAAAAACCAAATGAGAGGTAAACAAGAACTTTTTAAAAAAAAATTGGTTTAAACTAAGGATCCTTTTGGGACATTTTTGGTCGTCCACAAAAATTATTGTTATTTCTCCCTTGTTGCTACACGTCCTGCTCTTCTCACCAGTTATGATTCTTGACAAAAAAGTTGGATCAATTCAAAAGAAAACCTGACGTTTGTTCACCTTGAGGTTGACGGTAAGGTGTGAGTGGACAGGAAAGGACTTCCAGTGAGTGATTAAAAAAAGAAAGAAAGAAAGAAACAGGCCCCAACCGAGGTGAATGGTAAGATTAGACCAGTGAACTTTATGCCAGGTATGATTTTTTTTGGGGGGGGGGTGGGGGGCTTCTGTTCAATGCTTCTGTTTTTTGCCTCTAAACGTCACTCAGTCCAGTCTGATGGGGTGATGTGGAAGGTACCATGACGCCCGATGAAGGTCAAGCGGCTCCCAGCTGAACTCAGGGGCAAGGTCAGAGTGATAAATGGAGGGGTGTGGCTCATCGGGCCAAACAAACCACAAACAATCAAACAAATACTTCAGATTATTTATATGCACTTGTGTATCAGGGGTTGCACTCATCACATAGGGGTTTTTAGAGTTACATTAACTATCACTTAAATTAAATATATATCCTGACTAGAATAGAGAGGATCATTTTATTGTGCAAAATTTCAGTTATTATGAAAGAAATGAAACTTCTTACGAATTAATCAAATCAGAAAACAAAGAATTCTGCGTATTATGCATTAAATGTCCTTTTTTTGTTTCCTGTAAATTCAGTCTATGCAAAACAAATGTTGGTGCATGTATAACTGAACTAACATCAGGTCATATCAAGCTCATCCATCCCTCATATGATGTGCTGTTTGCACAGTTTTCTAGGAATCTGTGTTTATCTCTGCTCTACATTTCAGTCTTATTACTGAGTCTTAGTTGTTTTAATTTTTTTATTTATTTATAATTGCGTAATGATTAAAAATAACTTCATATTCATTGTTAGTTTGTTTTAGTGCACATGGACACATTAGAGCTGAATCAAAACTCACTAAAAATCCATTTAAATGGAACGTGGCGCAGCTTACAGCTAACAGGCATGAAGCAAACCGCCTTATGTTAATCCAGAGTTTTTGTGTCTTTGCTTTAAAATCTAAATTGTTGTCTCCCTCTTTTTGGCAGCTTCTGCCAAGCTGTTGTATAAATGATAAAGTATAATGTAACAGTAGTACAAGCTGGAGCACAGAAAGCTTCTGAACTCTCTTTTGCCCAGATTATTGATGGGATCAAAGTGACTGCTCGTGTTAGAAACACATTCTGCATGACGGCTCAAATATTTTCCCTCTGTGAGTCTGATCATCACAACTTGTTGTGAAGGGGGGAGCTAAAGAAGAAGCCTGTTAGCTGAGCAGCAGTGTGGGGAAGAGGAGGCGAGCCGGGCAGCTGAATGATGGGCTTGTTTGTCGAGGTCGGCTGGAGTGCGTCAGGGTGCTTTTGTTACTGCAAACATTCCTCGCTCTTTGTGTTGCTTTTCTGCATCTTTCAGCTGAATTTCTCCCACGTTCTCTTTTGACAATTCTAATAGTATTAAAAGAATTACAATATCAGTTTATCAGCTGTTATGTTTTTTACATACATGTAGAGGGTTTAAACATTCTCCAAGTCCCAAAAAAATCAGATCCATCCCCAGTTAAGGCAGTGAGTCTGGGCTACCTTAACTCTATGCAAGTAAAACCGCGCTTCTCAGCATGTATTTACACACAAGGTGTTTATATTCATGCTAAAGGCAGAACTACAGTTCAGAACTGTGGATGTTTTTATCCCAGATTCAGGTTTCAGAACTTTACAACTCTCACGCACAAAAAAATGGAGTGCATCTAGTGTCTTACACTGCAAGAAGGTGTTAATAACAGGAGGTTGTTGTTTCAGCACCCTACGCTGAAGAAGACGCGTCTCAGTGGACTATCTTCTTCCCCACTTAAATGTCCTCAATGTCTGGTCTGCTTCTGGGATGACCTCTGAGATTGAGATTAATAAACTGGGCTTGAGTCTAACAGCTGGTTTAAAGTCTCCACTTTCACTGCAGTTATAATCAATAAGTTCCACTCTACTTAAAGTTACTGTCCCACTGTTTCTGCTCCTTTCATTTATTTGAACTCAGCCCCTTCTCTTAGTTTGCTGTGAAGCTAGCAGAGCAGAATGAGCCCTCACCTCCTCTCTGCCGCCCTCTGCTGTCAGGCCCATCCATTGCTTGTCCACTCTGAAGGCTGTGCAGTTGAGATTAAAGATCTCAAGTTGTCAGCCAGCGTGACCTCAAAATGTAGCGGAAAAAACTGACAGGTACATTTGTTTTCTTGTGTTTGGAGGAGGGGACGGAACAGAAAGAATTTGCTGTGGGAAAGTGTGTGCTTTTTTTGTTTGTTTGGGGTTTTTGTGTGATACCCTAAAGTTGAGCCTGTCTTCATAGCTTGCATAAATGCCATCTTGTTGACTTTTTCTTAAGAGGACTTTTAGAAGATTGTTCTGAAGCTTTTTTTTTTTTGGCCTGGATTTGGCCTCTCTGCTAACAGGATGTTGAAGTTTAGTGGCTTCACTAATAAAATTCAGTCTTAGTTTTGAAAGCGTGGGAAAGATGTTTTAAAATGTTAAAAAATTAAAATATATAAACATTCCAGTATCCTTATACTAAATTGACCCCAATTTCAAAACCTCAAATCCTTTATTAACCGTTTTTCATCCCCTGTTGGCTCATTTATTTTGCTTTTTTCATAGCCAGGCGACAACAAGCCACATTACTTTCATTGCTTGAGAGCGTCACTGCCACATGAAATCATGAGTAGTATAAATGCATATCTTTCTACATCTATCACTCAGTAGGCTCTGATTATAGAAGACCATAAATTCTCTTTGCTCAGGGTTTGATGAACTTGTTAGGAAACCATGTGTGTAATGTAGAGGTTTACTGTAAGATAGCGAAGCTATGAGACTGATTCTGAAGAGGATCACAGTGTGCTGTTTATTTCTACGTGATGTTTTTCAAAGCATCAGTTTTCCTTTCAGATTTTTCTCGTATTTATGCCTCCTGACATGGCTTGTGATAGTTCAGCTTCTAAGGGTTGGTAAACCAAAGACTGATTGCAGTAACTATAGTCAGATTCTTTTCAGTCTTGTCTTAATGGCTTAAAGTTACCCACATGTCACCCCAACTAAAAACCTAACTAACCTCCCATTTTGTCCTCTTTATAAGCTCACCAACACTGGGATGTATTGGAGGAAAGCCTCTGCGTTCACACAAAGTGGACAGAAGTTTGGGATCAGTTTGTTGATTAAGGGAAAAGCTAATTTTTAGCTCCATAGTTTTATTCATGGGCTCCACCAGAGTAGCTTTGCATGATTCACGGTTCAAAATCATCCTTGTTCTGTAACATTCAAGGGTAAATTAAAAAAAAAAAAATGTCTGAACGACATTTAACATGAGCACCATTGTTATGACAGAGAATCAGGAAAAGCACAATTGACCCCCCCATTAGTCATAAATTATTAATGATGTTTAATAGATGCCTCCCACCAGGTGCAATCTGCTTGAAATCAAAGTGGTTATCACCGAGTTAAGGGTATTGCATGCCTAACCTCTGGGCAAAATTCAGTGCAATCACCAGGCATTGCTGGTGGTTGCCTTGATAATTACATAAGCAAGACGTTTCTGTTCATCAAACTAGACACTGATGTACTTGTCCTCTTGCTTTCCCACAACTTTTTCACTGTTTCTGTTCTGTTCAAGGCAGCTGTTTTCAGCTTTTCTGTTTTATATAAACTGTGAATCAATTGACTTAGAATACTCTTGAGGTGTTTCAGAAGAAAGCTATTTCTCTTTGGCTGTTTTGCGACTGCAGCCTAAAGATTCTCAACAAAGGTACTTTGTTTCAAAAACAAAAGCATTTTGAAGTGACCCTAGACCTTTTGGGAGCAATGTGCTTTATCTTTTTAGCACAGTGGCTGAAAAGTCATTGCTAATGTTATGTTTGGACGCATTAATACAAAAATCATATTAACTTCTTATATGTAAGGTTGTATTTTAACCTTGGAACACCTGTTCTATGGTTAAACTGGGAATATGGTCATTTAATCCACCTTTGAACAACACTGGATCCATTGGACCAGGCTAATGCTAGCATAGGCTAACGCTCGTCTAAGCTAGTGGTAGCATAGGCTAATACCAGTATAGTGCGTTCTATTGTCTTGGAAGTCTGAGCTGGGAGTGATGTCATTTCCAGTAGTAAAGTCATAACAGCAAGACAAAAAAAGGATTTGTGTTGCTCCTTGGTAAGGTAGAATCATACTTCAATAGCAATACAGGGAAATGTACCACTGCTGTACTTGCATGCATACAGTTTGAGTAGTGCTCTGCATATGATTTATTTAGTGGCAACGCACATTAAAAGTTTTATAGTTTTATCACTTTTTACATTCCCCTGGATAAAGTTAGCCCTGTTGGGGCTGCTCAGACTTTCCAAGTTGATAATGTGATGTCAGGGTGCTGTGGCCAGCTGAAAAGTCTGACTTCTAATTTTAAAGTACAATGGAATGCACTATAAGCTGGTCGCAGCAGATGGTAAGCATGATTTCAAGCTAATATAGACAAACACTGCTATAAAATATGTAAGCTAGGGGTAGCATAGCTTAACACTAGCATAGGCTAATGCTTTTTTAAAGTAATGCTAGCATAAACCACTATAAGCTAGTGATAGCATAGGCAAATACTGGCATAGGCTAATGTTCTTATGCTAGCATAAGCCAGTACTGATAAAAGCTAACAAAGTCCTACATAATGCTGAGTAATAGCTGCCTTTTTCTTTTTTTTTTTAAATGTTGTTGTTTGAGACAGAATACTCCATGTTAATCATTTAACATACACAACAGTGCTATAATATTGAGTGGCTGTAGACTGTGAGTGATTGAAGCTTCAAGTTAACCCTTAAATGTCTTTTCGCAAACTGTCAAGTTTCCATGCTAATAATTTAGCTTTGGCTACTAATTTGTTATTTAAAGAGAGAATTTAGCGGCCAATTTCTATGTTACTATCATGTTCATGTTATTTAAAGGTCAAAGTTGTGGATCCTTGAAATACAAATGGGGACAGTGGGGTCTCTTCAGGTCTTGTGACAGAGGATGTGGTAGTTTGCTGCTTTCTTTAGTCTCACATATCCATATATCAGGTTTAAACCTTCTCTTTCTGACTGGAGCTGGAGGAGGTTTAAAATAAACTGTTGGTTTAAAAGCTACGATGGGTTTTTAAATTCTAACCAAATATTCTCAGCAATTTAGATGAAGATTATGTGTGCTGGATTTGGGGGTAAATTTAACATTAGAAAACAATATTTTGCTGTTTCTTCTGATGAGATGTCAATAAAATATATTTAACCATAAAGATACTGAACGGGTTAGAATATTGAGCACTGCAAAAAGGAAAACTGTGTTGCTGGTACTGATTTTCATCTGTGGACAGTGAACCAAACTTGGTCTCCAGTGCCTTGTGAAAAATCTATTTGTGACACCCATAAAAACTCAGTTAAAAAAAAAGAGCTAAGATGGCGGGCAGTGTTTACAGGTTGTGGCTGTATTTGTCATGTTTGTTGTTGTCATCCTCAAAGAGAAATTCTATTTCAGTTATTTTTGGTCTTCACAGCAATCATTAAGACTTATCTAATAGAAGCAAGGTTTCAGAAGGTATAAAGTTGGCCTGTGATGCTCGTCTGTATTTCTATTCTTATGTTTTTCTCAAGTTACTTTGCATGATTCAGGGTTCAAAATAATTAGCATATGTTGTATACTTGGCTCTTGAGCAGTGATACTTCCTGCCCCTTTAAATGAACTTTTCCCCTCCCACAAGTGGGTGGGGCTTCTTTACTTACCATATTAGGGATGTCCACCAATGAGATAATACACAGCCAGGTGTGAAAAAAAACATTTTAAAACCAAATGTTTAAAGCAAAACTGATTCTGTTTTACATCATTATTTCAAACTTTGATCATGTTAAGAGCAAAGAAAATAGATGGCAGAAAATATGGAAGAGCATAATAGGTTCACTTTAAACAATCTGAAACAAACCACCACACGTATATCGACATGTCTTCAGTACACTTTATTTGATCCTGCTGAAATTATGGCATTTATGTAATAAATATTCTGATATTTAGCATTTTATAGTATTTCATTAGTACTTGAACCATTCAAATGTCTCTCATAGGCTTAAGTTTGTTTGCAGTGTTTTCATCGATTTAGCGAGATGTTTCTGTTTTAGAAGTTTGGATTGAAATCTTTCTGTCCATATCACTGGCCCTTCCTGATTGACTTAAATGCAGCACTTTCACAACCTTTAACACTTCCTGCCCTGCATTATTTTTGATAACATTCTAATTTTTCATACATGTATATCAGGATTGATGTATCTGTCCTTTCTTTTTTGTAGTGTGACCGTTCGTTTTTTTGTTTGTTTTTTCGGGGAGGGGGGGTTGAGGAAATTTCCTATCTGAAAATGAGACTGGAGTGTTTTATGAGATAATATGAGGAGTCATGTATTGTTGCAGCTTGTGAATTCAGAGCACCCCTTTAAAATTCAATAAATTTGATTTGGTAGACTGTTTTGAACAAGTCTCTACTTTATTTTTGTTATTTTTTGGACATTACTTCTGCCCATTCTTGGTTATGTTGTTGTAGTGTAAAGTTATGTCCACCCAGAGGTGCTGCTGGCTCAAGCTGAGCTGCTGGAGTTGCACTGTAGAGGCTACATTAAGGCATTAAAGCTGGACTTCTTTAAAATAAAGCTTAATTTATATGCTTCTTTACATGTGGGGACTATGGAGATTAAGTTACGTTTAAAGTTATTTACCACTGTTAAGAAATCAAAGATATTTTAACAGAATACCATAAGAAATTGCCTTTTTTTTGTTTTTGTTTTTTTTGTTAAGTAATTAAATGATTTTGGGACATTTTCTGAAATGAGTTTAATTTGAAGTTTACTGTGACATAAAATCTGCATCTATGGAACTGTGGGTAAAATATGATTTATTTATTTTTTTATTTTAGTTGTTGAGTTTGAACGTAATTTTTTTTAAGCCTAATTTAAGTTTTTTTTTAAAAAAATTGATCGCACTTACTGTTTCCGTCACAGATTTTGATTCAGAAGTCTTTTAGTTATTTTTCGTACATTGTTTCTGATATCTGAAGGGATGGCAAACAAAAAAATGAAGTTTGAGGTTGTATGAGGTTGTATTTGTACTGGCTGGATCAGCCCATAAATTCCACCAATGAAGACAAATAAAAACAAAAAACAGTCAATTACATACAATATATTAAAAATAATGGTAAAAACACAGTTCAAAGTGCAGTAATGTGCATATTTATTTCTCTTTCTAAAAACAACTGATACTACACAACCAGAAAATGTCATTTACACCAATGAAGCTAGCACTGAAGGACAGTGTGACAGTTATATTGACATTTTTTGCCAACATAGCATAAAAACTCCAGAAAGCTCAAATGTCAGAAAGACAGGTTTAGTCTGAGCAAGTTGTTTACACAGAAAAAGTCACAGAATTCAAAAAGCTATTTTAGCGTAGGCAAAAAAAACCCTGATGAGTTTCTAGCTGTAAGCTCATCATGCTGTTTAAGGGATATTGCTCATTGTGACTAAACATTTAAAAGAAATGTTGCATTTATCTCATATCAGCTACATTATACAATATATAAGCATAAATTATAAAATTACTTGTGACCTATTATCCTTTCATTTTTCATTTACTGTAAAGAAACTATGATTTCATAAAGCTTAAAAATGTACCAATGAGGACCCTGATCACCCCCACCAGCACCGCCAACCCCCTCAGAGACAAAACACTTGAACAATTCTGGCCCCTCCTCCTGTTTAATTTTTTCCCACCCCCTTTATGTCCCAAAATAAACACACAAACCTGTTGCTTCCAATCTGAAGAGGCACATTTTAGCTCATACACCATGCTGGGCAGCAGGGCCAGCGGGAGGGTAAAACGTCCAGGAAAATTCAGCAGTAGATGCCCTGCCACGGAGGAGGGTGGCAGAAAATCATTTGCCACTTCAACTGAATTCCTTTGAAAGGTTAATTTGATCATCTCCTACGCGCACTGAGTAAATGATCTGCCCGTGCAGCACATAATCTCTTTTTCCAAGATGTCATTGTGCACGAGTTTTCCATGACTTATAAATAACAACTCTCTGCTCTTGCTTTGGCCAGATGAGAGGGAAGAGTAAGAGAACACGCATGTTGAGAGAAATACTCCATGGAGCTTGATGGGACTTCAGTGAGTTGCTGTCAAAGGAGTCTGTCTGCGACCTCCTTTTGAAACGTCCTGTGACTTTACTGGAAAAACTTTAATGGAAAACGTCGGATGTCCTTGAAACACTTTTATAAGGAGTGAGAAGAGAGTGCAGACTTATTTGATTGGTTTAATTTGAGGGGGTAGAGGAGAAGTTGAAGGTTTGCTTTAGAGATTTTTGCTGAGGCCCCGTTTCTGGATTGAAACTAAGGGGCGTTGAGGGTTGCTGAAGAAACCATGGATGAAGCTACAGAGCGGGGTCAGGAGGCAGCGATGAACGAGGCTTTCGTTCACTTCGAGGCCACGCTGGAAGCCGCTGTAAGGGAGGTGCACGTGGACGTTAGTGCTTTCAAGCATCGCATTGAGCAGAGGATTGAGGAAATGTGCATTTCCAATGGACCTTTGGCTGAGGCGGTTACCAGACTCCAGGAGGAGAACCTGCAGCTCAGGGCAAAGCTGGAGGCCCTCAGCCACCTGGTGGAGGGTCTCTCAGGGGTGAAGACTGAGGCGAAAGGGAAGAGCAAGGAGCAAAGACTAGAGAACGGCCATGTACAAATTCAATCCAAGAACCAGGAGGAGCAGAAGGGTCTGTTTAACTCTGAAAACAACCAGCCGGGTCAGGCCACGTCCTACGAAGTGTCTGGGCTCAGTGGAGGATCGAGCCAAGCTGCTACCCCAGCCCCTCCTCCGTGGAGAGCAAAGAGAAATGCAGAGATTAATGTGAGTATTCAGCCTGTATTTCCACTGAATAAAGAAATACCCAGTAGAATATGTCCAACCCTGTAAGATCAGTAATTAGCAGTAGCAGTGGCCTCAGATGATTAAAAAGAACAACATGAGGGAACCACAGAAGACTTTAGGGGTACGTTTGTGAAGAGTGTGAAGACTTCAAAAACATAAAATCAAAAAGCCAGATGCTTTTTTCTTTAATATACTTATTGTTTACAAATCCAGATAAACTTTGTCATATAGCGTAGCCAGGATTTCAAGGATAGTCCTCCTTTCTCTCTCCACAAAGACTGTTTACCTGCATGCTACAGCCTGCATCACCGGTCACCCTGCTGACAGGTGATTAGGTGACTCCAGTCACAAACTAAGACGCTTCTAGAACCAAGAAATGTGTCCCTAGCCTAAAAGTTCTTCACATTCATACAGGTTATAGAGCAGCAACAATTGTAGTATCTCCACCAACAAGGTTGGGTGATGGGTTCTGTTATCTGTTTGTTAGCTGGACAACTCATCTCCATGTGCATGGAAATTCACCAGAGGTGGAGTGTGACCCTTTGGGGTTGACCTCCAAATTTTATTTTATTTTATTTCAGGAATATTAACCTTGACACACAAACACACATACATCAAATTAAAATAAGAAAAACTGGCAAAGACGAACTGAAAAAAACACAATCTGCTTTTGTATTTTAAGGCTGTAGTAAAATAACCATCTGAAATGCGATTATATGCCACCTGCCTTCACAAATGACAGCTTTTAGTGTTGGAGGGCGTCGACAAACTCAATGACAGGCACGCCTGACCCCGTCCAGCATCGCTGTTAAGCAAACTCTCTCCACATGAATGCTCTGAGCTCCTTCCAAAATTCTTTTTGCATTGCTGCAACATCCCTGGATGCTTCTTAACAGAAATCGCATTTCTGTACAATCATTTTATGCAGCCATGACTGCATCATGAAAACTGCTCCTTTCCAGGTGTTAAAAACAAATAACCCTTAAAAGATCAGATAAAGTAAGCCTACCTGATTTCTGTTCACACAGCTGTGACACAGCTGAGGGATCTATAGTAAGCCCTCTACACTGTAAAGAGGACAGAGGTCTAGTGGTTATCACTGATCATATACTAAGGTGTCTTTAACGGGGAAAGAGTTCAGTTAATCCTGGTTTATCTTATACAGGGCTTTGGTGTAGCCTTTGAATTGATCCCGTTGAATTAAGCTTTCTTCTGATTAGCTGTCCCTCACAAACAAAAGATTAGAAAAGCTGGAGCCAGAGCTGTGTATCTGGGATGACCATATTAGGACATCCACCATCACTGATATCACAGAGAGCCAAGAGTAGAAAAAAACAGCCTGAAATTGAGTATTTTGAGCAGATTGAAGCCTGGGCTTTTCGCTCACAGGGGTTACATTTACAGCTCAGTATTTAAAACTTTATTACTATATGTATAAACACATATGACAGAAGTTTAGAAAAAGCATAATAGGTTCATGTTAATAGTCCAGTAATAACAGAGTAATACCATTCAGTTTAATTTAAGCACTAATGAGATTCTGTGTAATCATCATTTTTGAAACTAACCCCACCACAAACACACACTTACCCTCTCCCCCACCCCCCATTCTCAGCCTTCTCATCCTCATGGCCCGCTTTTATAACAGCAGGTCCTCCAAAGGGCAAGTGTATTTTTGGCTTTGCGATTCAAAAGAGAGCTGCAGCTCTTCTGAGCCTGTGCATGCTCACCAACAACTGCAACTTTCTAGCGCACATAAACACCAGCAAACATGCAAGCAAGAGAATCACGCTGAAGTGATCGCTTGATGCACAATCAAGGGCAAAGCGGATTTAATGAAAAGGGCAGGAATAAGAACGGCACGCTGCACGACACGCTTCCAACGGCGGCCTCGGTGCACGTACGAGGGGGGATTGTTCGATATAACTCACATGCACACTCTGATGACAGGTGTATAAATAAATCCACATCCTCTAACCACTCAGGAATCTTGTTTCCCTGCCAGTCTGAGTCTCAGATCTCCTAATGGAAAGTTGAATTGCGTCTATATCCCTGTCGGATAAACTCTCCCCCAGCACAAACCCTGAGAGGGACAACCAGCTGTCCCGCCAAAGTGCTCGCCCTGCCAGCATTTCTGTTTGCTGAGGTCACCTGGTCTTTTCCCAAACATTGATCCCCCACTAGTCTAACATACAGCAGTTCACCCCACCCCACTGCCCCCCACTTCCCCCCCAGTTTTTAAATGATCTCACATGATTCTTTACTCCATCATTTTCAACTTTAACAAAGAGACTGTATATAAAAGATGGAAGTAACTAACGTTAAATCACTCACTGTGTTCTGGATATGGATATGCAGACTTACCGCATTTTTGGGGGGGCTGTTATGTGGAATTTTTTTTCCAGAAGTGGCAGCAGTCAATAAAAAAGTATCAGTGTCAATAAAGGTGGCCACGCCCCTAATGTTAAGCCTCATTATTCAAAGAAAATCCCCCCCAGTAAAGTTAGCTAAAGTTAGCTAAAATTAGCTATAAACATCAAACCCTTCTTTTGCACCAGACTATTTATTTCTGATGTAAAGAGATTGATGGGGTTTCACTTCTTTTTGGAGGCAACCCCAAGTGGCCACTAGAGGACCTGCAGTTTTCAGCCACTTTCAACTTAGTCTTCCTTTTTCAGCCTCAGAGATGGCTTCTTAACTTGCTTGATCTACCATCACTCTTCATATTATCCAGGATAAACAGTTAGTAGGATTAGATAAAATAAATCCGGCTCCATGGATACTCGGATGAGAGACTATACTCGAAAACAGTGGCTGTCATGCAAGTAGTTATTGTTTATTGCCAGAGCCACGTGCCTTAAGATGTAGTGTCTTTAGTGACCAGCAGGAAATCTCCGCTGTCAACACCAGATGTTCATACTCAACTTCAACTTCTTAAATAATACCTATAAACACCCGGCAGACTGGAAACAACACGACTGGAAGATGTCTGAAGAATCTAAACACACACTTAATAAATACTTTTTAAAATGCTTTGCATGAGTTTTCTATGAATCAGCTTGTTAGTAACTCTCACTGCGCCTTGAAAATGAAGTGACTGCTACATGGAGCTAAAGAGAACATCAAAAGGTTATTAAACCAAAACAATGAGGTTAAAGAAGTTAAAATGCTATATAGAGCTGAGTGGAACTCCAGAAGTGAGTTATAAGCTATCGTTAAGAAAAGTGCATTAGCTTGATTGCTTGCATCCATTCATCCATCTTGTTAATTTTTCTAGAGCTAGGTTTTCCCACTTGAGACTGTTTAAGAGGTGTAGTGCACTCTGGACAGGTCACCAGTCCATCACAGGGCTAACACAGAGACAGACATATATTCATGCTCACATCCACATCTTCAGCTAATTCAGGTAAATCACTGGGCTCGGGGAGGAAGCCAGAGCAGCCCCTGCAAACTTGAGCCCAAGCTGACCAGGAGGTTTAAACCTTTAATTTTATTTTCTTTGTTGTGAGGGATAGCCACCCCTGTGTTTGTGTGTTTGTATCTAACCAAAGCATGTTTCTAAGAGGGAGGTTGTTGGGTGTAAACCCATTTAGAGGTTGCAGATACTATCAAGGGTCAGACGGAGTCAGACATCAGCTACTGTGGAGCCTTCAGATGATCATGGTGATAATCTCCCTCTCGATGACAGACTGGATATATACGCTGTGCTATGAGCACTGCTTGTCTCTGGAAAGCAAAAGGCTGCGGGGTGGGAGGTGGACTGAATACAGGCCAAAGCTTTGTGCTGATATACTTAGGTTGAGCAGCTTCAACAGCACCTAACTCTGATTTCCAAAGCATCCATTTGGGGCTATATTGGGACGTAAGAAGAGTGCAGCGGAAACTCTTGCAAAGGGGCTGATTGCAAAATCTAAAATAGCCTCTCAGTGGGAACACGGGTTTGTTGGCCACAGCTGTCATTAAAGGAGAAGCTGTCAGCCGTTAACAGCTGAAGATCACACATCCAGAGAAGTGAGCACAGACACGCACACACACAAACAAGTTTGCGATGAGTGATAAAGGTCTAAAATTAATTTTAGCTGTGCACAACAAAAGCAAACTGTGAGAGGTCCAGTGAGTAAAGTTACCAACGCAAATGTATAAACACAATATAAACACTGTATATGTTGCATAACTTGTTTAACATGCAAATGATCGACTCATTTGCTCCTCATCCCACCCCCTCGTGCTTTCCAAAATGCTAATGTCCAATATCTCCACTCTTACAAACACAGCCACATGAAGCAACGATGATTTTACTGGACGTCATCATTGAATCCCAAGAAGTTTTTAATGCTTTAATCATCAAAAAATCATCAGTAATGATAATGTTAGTTTATAATTGTTCATCGAAATAAAAGGAGTGGGTGTTTTGACTTCTCTGCCTCACCTAAACAGGGAACTGAAGCAAGAGGGGAGAAGAATGTTGCTCATGTAGCTACCACCGCGCAAGAGAAACAGGAAGGTAGGCAGCTTCACCTGCACATCCAGACATTTTACTCTTCAAGCTGGTTTCATTGTTGGGTTCGTGTTCTCTGCAGACCCTGATGTAACCCAGACTGCAGAAGCTGCTCCTCAGTCCCACCGAGCTCTGACCGCCATCACCAAACCGACCTCAGAGTCTTCATCTGTGGAAACGCCCAGCAGGCCCGGTCAGTTCATGTCCTCTATGGTTGGATTTACAGAAAGACATTTAAAGTGATCTTCAGCTCAAACGTGAGCTTTTATGTTTCATCTGCTACACTGATGTTGAAACAGTTTATAATACCAGGGAACAAAGTAAATGCATGCAAGTCTAAAAAAAACCCGAAATGATATCCACAAAACCAAATGTTTTTCTATATTTTGCTTGCAGTGTTTTGTATATACCTCACAATATCCAAAATATCCAATTTTAAAATGCATTTCCTCTCACTGGTTATACTTATTCCATCTTATTCCATGCCATAAAACACAGATGTTGTTTGCGCTTGCAGATATTTATATTGGCATTAAAACTGAGCTGTAAATCAGCACAAGCATGTTAAAAAACCCAATAAATTAATTCATAAATTGAGGACTAAAACTGTGCACTGCAGTGGATTGTATTTACAGTTGTGATCAGAAGTTTATGTACACTAATCTTGGGGAAGAAAGTAACCAAGAAATATTTGGTTAAATGCACAATGCTTTTGGTATCCATCAAGCTTCTTTATATTCACGACTGAATATTTGACCACTCTTTTTGGTAAAATTCATTTAAATTGGTTGATTTCCCACGATCGACTTTGTTTTTAAGCATAGTCCACAAATGTTCAATAGGTTGAGGTTGATCTTTGGCGAGGCCATTCAAGGAACTCAATCTTAGCTAACCAGCTCTAATGTGTGCTTGGGATCATTGTCTTGTTGGAACACTCAGTTTCAACTATACAGCTGTTTATTTGAGGTGAAGTTGAAGAATTTTGAGGTAGTTTTGCTTTTTTCTTATTCCATCCACTGTTTATAATGTAGCAGTGCCTCTGGCAGCAAAACAGCCCCAGAGCATGATGCTACCACCACCATGCTTGAAAGTTGGTATGGTATTCTTAGGTTTGTAAGCTTCACCCTTTCTTTGTCATTGTGGCCAGATAGCTTAATCTTTGCCTCATCTGACCATAAAACTTTTCTTCAGAAGTGAGTTGGCTTTTTGACGTGGGCAGCTGCAGATTTGGGTCAAGCTTGAAGGCATCGTTTTTGGAGCAGAGGCTTCTTTCTCTGCACCGTTTCACTGTGGACAGAGGTGCTGGTATTCCAACAGTTTCATGTTCATGGCAGGCTTGAGCCTTGGTGGTTCCTGGCTTGTTCATGAACATCCTAACCAATTTCCTCTCTCTCGGCACATTGGTGGGACATCCATATAACTTATATAGAATTTTTGAACTAATAACCTTGGAATCTGCAGTTGCTTAGAAATTAATCAAATATACCTTCCCAGCTTGTGTAAATCTACAATTCTCCTTCTTCGATCTTCACTGAGTTTCTTGGATTTTCGTCTTGTTTTGAGTATGAGATGAGTGCTATCAAACAAATCCTTAGCATGGCATGGCAACTGTATATGCGCAATTTTTTTTTCAGTGTCAAAAGCCAACTCTGAAGCTCCATGTGGGGAACCTGTCTAATATTGTAGACAGGTTCCCCACATGTCGTCTCAAGGTGCTTTTTACCTTACAGTAAAAAGCACCTTGAGACGACTGCTGTTGTGAACCGAACACTACTGACAACAACAACAAACTACAACAAAAGCCATCACTTCCATTTGGACTTCGGATTCTTTCTTTTTCAGATGCTGATGAACCCCAGCCTCATCTTCCGGTGACGGCCATGACAACTAGAGCCAGTTCAGAGGCAGCTAAACCCGCTCAGTCTGCAGAACCTAAAGCAGCAGGCGAAGCCGGAGAATATCCTTTTATAAGAGGTCAGTTAGTTTCTCTTTATGATTATTTGTTAGGATGCTAACCTCCAGGACATGGAGACCCATCCAATAATACAAAAAGTATCAGGTCAGGGCGCCTGGAGGAATTTAGTCCTCAATTAAATATGAAAATGTCTATGCATAAGTAAGAGCAGAAGTTCACCTGTCATTCAAGATATACAATTTAGCTGATACCATGAAATATATGAAGTGCAAAATAAACACATGAAGTCATTTTTAGTTCTTTAGTTTGAATTCATTGACGAGGTGGCATCTTTTTTCACGGTCCGTAGATATTCAACAAACTCCTGGATCAATTTGACTTTCTGTTGGTTACAAAATCCACCTTTTTTTTTTTTTTAGCTTAGTTATGATTTCATCAGTGAAAACAAACTCACCTACGACAAAGTGAGAAAAACAGAGTCAGGCAGCATCCGTGTCAGCAGTATGAGACGATCTTTGCACCCTTATACTGTGACAGAGAGGTGCAGTACTTTCAACAAATCCATTCTTTGTTTCTTGGCTCGACAAAACCCAAAGTCACACTAAGAGACAACGGGTACACTTTCTGTTCCAGGCTCTGAGCGCTCTATGTGTAATTTCATCGTTCATCTGCTCAAAGTTGGCCTGCTGAGTGTTGCCTACTTCAGTCAGACACATCATCAGAGGAGCAGGGGATAAAGATACACAAAAAAGATTTTAAAAATAAGAATGAGACAGCAAAGGGTGATGGAGAGAGTAGAACAGCAAGAGAGCAGCGCTGCAGAATACCTTTAATCTTTTGATCTATTTATTCTACTCTCACTGCTGCCATTTATTTCTAACAGGACAGCTGTTTAGAGGTAATAATTCAATTTAACACTGAAAGCTACTCGGTGGGTATTGCTCTAGCATGAAGTATCCAAAGGTAATAGCTAGCATTAGCACAAAACTTAATTAAATAATTGACAAAAAATAGTTTCCCCCTTTTTATGATGGCATGCCAACAAACATGCTGATGTTTCCACCTTGTTACATTCATTAGAGCTTGAAGCGAAATATATACAGCAATTTGGCAAAAATAACATCAGTGCCAGTTTGCGCTGCTGTAGCTTAACAACACGACTTCCTTTTATTTAGATAGTAAATTATAGATCATCAGGTAAATCCAATTCAATCCAATCCAATTTTATTTATAAAGCACTTTAAAATACCCAGCACAGGACCAAAGTGCTGTACAGAAAATAAGTTCATATTATTAACATATTAACAGCGAAAGTAAATAAATAAAACACCTAATACATGAAAAATTAAAATAGCCCTATATTAAAAAACAAGATAGAGCAACATAGACTCAACTAAAATAAAACTAAAAATAAAACCAACATCTCACACGGTGTCAAAGGTCAGGGTAAAGAGGTGGGTTTTCAGGAGTGATTTAAAAACAGGCAGAGAGGAGGCCTGTCTAATCTCTAAAGGGAGATCGTTCCACAGTTTTGGAGCTGCTACAGCAAAAGCAGGATCTCCTCTAAGTTTACGCTCAGTCCTGGGTACATTCAGGAGCAGCTGTAGTAAAAAATGTTCCTGCAGCAGAGAATCCGTATCACACTTACAGCATGCAAAATATGAAAAGGATCATCAAAAATGTGGTGCTTACAGATGATTTCACACAGAAACTCTGAACATATTTGAACACAGCCAGCTCCGACTCTGTAAAAAAAAGTTTGTTAAAAAACGGTACAATGGCAGCAGAAATAAACCGTAAAATCCAAAACAGTAGATCTCCGTAGTAGAAACAGTTAGTGGCTGTAAATGAAGAAACAAGACATCATTTTAATTTTTACCGTCATAATATGTAGACATATTTTTACTGTGAACATATTTTTTTCCGCTAACATTTTCCAGCATATGCTACAATGTCACAAGTAAGAGTTCGTTTTTGTCTGAATTACATATTTTACAATTATGTCTAAAACACTTCTACAGAAAGAAGATGTCATGTTTGTTAAATCATTTTGATTTCAAGGTAACATGTTTGTATTAAAACTTTAGCAATTAGTTTATTAATTAGCTGATTGACAAACATTTATTCAGCAACTATTTTGATTAACGGTTTCAGTTGCTTTCAGAGGGAAAAATGCAAAACACTGCTTTTAAGATTAGAATGAAAACCTCTTTAAAGCTTATGGTCAGGCCTGGATCAGGGCTGGGCCTGTGTGGGTTCAGGAAGACCTAGTCTTGACTTTTTTTTCCATTGTGAACCCAACAGTGGAGAAGTGTCTTTAAGTGTTTTACACTTTAGGTTTTTTAGTGATTTAGCTTCTTTCCTGTTTTAATGCTATATCATCTCCATCTGTGCAGGTGGAGCGAAGGAACAAAGGCCCCAGGCATCCCAGGATCAGTCAGCCTCTGTGTCTCAGTCTCTCCCCCATCTTCCTCTCACAGTGTTAACCAAAAGCAGCTCTGACACTCCTGCTTCATCTAAATCTGATCCCAAAGCGGTTTCAGCGCCAAACCCTTCGATGCCAGAGTCACCGACGATAAAGCGCGGCGAATATCCATTTAGACGTGGTGCGTGCACTGCCGAAGTATCAGCAACGGTGTTTTGTTTGGCCCCCTATTTTTAAAA